GTTTTCAACAAGTTGTAATAAAGCTATTTATAGGTATGTTTAATTCGGATACAACAATAATAAACTGAAGTGGCGATTGTTGTGTGTGTTACTTTTTTCGGCCATTCGCTGTAGCTAAACTGACTATATTATCTGTTCTCCAGTAATTTAAATTTACAAAATTGAAATTGAAATTCATCTACGTAATTTATATGCTAAGCGCCTAAAAGTATATTGAGTTTTTTTCTTATATTTACTTCGGAAAAACGTCAAAGCTTTCTGATATATAGTGTACAAATCTTTAGCAGAATTTCTTTTTCCTTTAATAGATGATTTTCACTTGTTGTTGCCCCACAAGTTGAGGATCACAGAAGTCTTAATCCCACTACATTCGGCTAATTTGAGTTTCGATAAAATGTTGTAGAAACATTTGAATATGTAGAGATAATTTTAAATTTTACCTTTTGCTCAAACTATTCCGAAACTCTAAAAGTCGACACGATATTTCGTGGGTTTTTCGAGGATTGTAATCAATTCTATATTCTTAGCATCTCGAATTTCAATAACATAACGAAAGCAAAAAAACCAAAAACCAAAATGACACCCAAAATAAATATATTTATATTTTGTCTCCCAATAAATATTGCCAATAAAAAATACTACAATTTTGCACACTCCATCTCCTTAGCATTTAAAACTCCATATTTGCACTAACTTTCTCAATACAACTTAATCCCAACCTTACAAAGAACAAACGCATGGAGCTTAAGTCAGCTTTGGCCTACTTTTTGGCGCTTTACCTACATTTTACCTAAGCAAGTGTTGAGCCAAGCCCTGTCGCAAATACCAAGCAAAGGTAGGGCACGTAGCAAATGGTTGAAAACCTCCAACAACAACAACAGCAATGCAGAGGACGTGAAATAGTAATCGGAATAATAAAATTAAAAACAAGAGCGCGGAAAGTGAAAGCACTAGCGACTCACAATGCTCAGCCAGATAGCAGTTAGCAAGAAATGAATGCTTTGCGCTTAAACCTCATAATACCCATAGACCATTGTGCTTGGGAAACTAATGTAATGTGCGCGCGGGCTGTCGCGGCCATACTTTCAGTATTTCCGACACGTAGCCCACTCACGCCCACTCGACTGGCGCTTTAAGCTCGTTCAATTGTGGACTGATACAAACAAAGAAAAACTGAAACCAAAAAGTAAATGCGCGACAGTTAGACTGCGCTCGGAAAAGTGTAGAGGATTGCACATCAATTGAGATGTGTGGCTGGTTGTGTAGGTGCTGCTTGAGTATTCCTATCATTTCACCATCATGTTGCGCAGAACACATAAATGGCATTCTGGTCATGTGCCGAATGTTCCAAAATGTGTGCATAAAAATCCAACTAAATTCGCCATTATTTATGTGTTAAGTACGCTCCTGTATTCACTAATCAGTTGGTAAAAGTCAGAGGTAACGGTTTCGTTATGGCGATTGTATTCTGTTTTAATCATTCATATAATTTTGTGGACTCTTTTAAGCAAGATAACTCATAATTTCAAGAAGTATATAAATTAATAAGTCGCTTGAGAGTTATAAGTTTTGCGCGCACGTGAATGAAATTGTAAAGTATGGCACCCTTTACACATAACCTTTGGCTAGTATGAAGTTAGTTCCAATGCTGTAATACAAAACATTTTTTAAACTGAAGGGGTTCACCTCCATTTATACTACAATATATTTTAATTCCAATTCTTTACAGTTTGTTGGGGCTAGGGGAAGTTCTGAAATTTTAGACTGATTGCATTAACTTTTGACATTACCAAATAGCTCACACACTAGCCGACATTTTCGTCATCAAAAGCTTTTGCTCTCTCCAAGAAATAGCGCTAATATCAATTAATTTGAAGTTGGGGTGTCAGAGTACTTTTTTATTATGAAAAAAAATTGAATTCCGCGCTGTGATTAGATTCTTTGTTTTGAAAGGTTTAAAAGCAAAGAAAAAATATGAACAATTGTTTGAAGTGTATAAGTAGTCCTCACCTTCCAGAAGATTCTTGAGCAAATTCATTATTATTAGTGAAGATGCAAGTTTGGCTAAGCGTTAAATTGCTAATGCCATAGACATTTCAGACGAATGAATACTTCATATTTTACATGGAGAATCACATATGAGAAAGCTGATTGGAAAGCTAGTGCCGCACACGTTAACAATTCAACAAAAACTGGATAGAAAACAAATTTCTCAGCATTTCTTGCGTCGTTTAATAATTATGGATGAGACTTATTTTTATCTGTTCTGATCCTAAATTGAAACAAGAACATTTATAATCGACTGAAGCTGGTTGTTCAGCTCCAAAATAGGTGAGGTCACAACAATAAGTAAAGAAGGTTATGGCGTCAGTTTTTTGGGATGCAAAAGAAATTGATGACAAAATTGTTGAGAAAAGAGCAGGTTTGCAGCCCAAAGAAATTATTTTTAATCAAGACAATGCACCTTCTCGCAAAGGTGTTTTAACAATGACAAAATTCAACGAATTAAATTGCGAATTACTTGAGCATCCACCGTATTCACCAGATTTGGCTCCCAGCGACTACCACCTTTTCAGAAACTTGAAGCAATTTATTCCGGAAAGTCATTATAGGGATGGCATAAAACGATTGGGGGGTCATTGGAATAAGTGTAATGAAAATAAGGAAGATTATGCTGAATAAAAAAATATATTTCGTAGCAAAAACAGTATATTTTCATTTTGAGCGTGGAAACCAGAAATTCGAAAATCTTAGGTGTAGGTAGCTAGAGAAATAATTTACCTAATTAGGCATTTTCGACACAAGGAAATGCTATTAACATACAAATACGCTCTCTGAAATTCAGTACAAGAGTTACAGAGTTAGAAGTACAGATTGACTGATATTTTGGGTAAGAAGTCAATCATAACCACTAGAATCCAGCTATTCCGGATTTGAAGAGTTATATTCTGATTTTCACAATTTTTGAACTTGAGATGACATTTTTTAAAAGCAATATTTGTGTAAAATTTATACCGATTTCTTCATTGGTAATCAATTAGCATACTGTAAAGTGAAAGGATCATATGGAATTCAAAATTGTGTTATGTGGAAAGCATTCAGTTAGCATACAGGAGGTGCTATTGAGTTGTTGTAAAATTTTAGTATCGAATTAGTTTGAAAGAACGAATAACAAAAATTCATTAGCTTTAAATTTTGTTTTTTGTATTTTATGGGTCTTAAATTGAGAAATTTAAGCTTTAAACTAAAAAAGCAGTAAGTTCTTAAAAGCGAAGCGTTCAACACAAAGCCCTTGCTGACACATTTTTGAGCGCAAATTTATATTCGCAGTTGAAAATTTATACTCCTAAATTGCTAATAAACAAAAAAGCGCATAAAAAGCGACGCTGAAGCGACACCAAAGTGATAACAAACAGCAGCAGTAATATGACAATAAATAAGTCAGCAGTGACAAGTAGCAAACACACGCATACCGGAAAAACGCATGCCTGGATGTGTGCCTACCGCGCTGCAGAAAAAATGTAGCAGCTGACGAAGAGATGAATAAGAAGTGGAGGAATAAGCACGTTTATCGCGCCACGGAAAGGCAGCAGACACACGTATTAATGCTTAGACAGCGCAGCATACAGATATTGAAATCTTTGTATAGTTGTGTGTTTGTTGGTGCTTCGAGAAAGCTTATTGTTTGCGTATATTTATAAGCTAATGCCCGCGTAACGGCATTAAATCAGAAAGGCGACAAAAAAGTGAGCACCCGAAAAGGAACGCCAGCAAACAAAGAAATGCTGCACGAAAGAGATGTTTGTTGCCAACATATAGGCGCTGGAACGCAGCAGCAGTTGCGGTGCGAAATTTAAAACTGCCTGCCATATAAATGAAAACTAACTAGAAAAAAGTGCACATAAAATATGGTGAAAGAGGCAGCGTTGCAAACGCTTAGTCTGTGGCGACTGTCAGCTGACGCCCTAAATTATGCTACAACGTGTGCGTTTTTATTCCAGCTCAAACGAGTGGCAAATATGGCGTGGTGAGTATGATGGCAAGAGTAGATGAGGAAACGGGTTCAAAAGAAGTTAGAGAATATATAATATATATACTTATATAATATGAAGTAAGCAGTGATAAGCAAAGTCGGAAATAAAGAAAGAGCCGTTGTAAATATTGTAAAAAAAACAGAGAATATGAAAAAAAATTTGGGTAGGGGAATTGTGGCTTTTTCCTGCGAATGATGTAATGGAAGCAAAGCCGACGAAAAGTGGACTAAGCGAAATCGTGGAAAGTAGCGTTCCAATAGCTGTGCTCCGCTTTATATATACTTTTAGGTGTTTATATGCATATATATGTGTTTATGGGTGCATTTCTTTTTCACCCATATTTTCTTTTAGAATTTTTGAATCCACGCATACACTGATAAATTTCTTAGATGCTGGGTGTAATTGTAATAGTTTCATCGGCTTTGGCCTAAGGCAGATAACAAAATGCGACTCAAATGGCTGCTTTTGTTTCACGTCAATAACCTGTTTACGAAGTAGGGAGGTACAAAGATACTAGCCGGAACCACTCGTGGAGAGCCGCGCTGCACATTATTTTCTGACATGTGACTCTCTAGTACTTACATTTTTAAATTCCGTTGAATCCATTTTGAATACTAAGTAATTTATTTTGTTCGACACATGATGCTGCGAAATATTTTGTAGGCAGATATTCTACAATCAATAGTATTTGCAGCGCATGCGATTTAAGAAATTTTTTAGATAATTTTTTTACACCTTGGATTACAAATTTGGCATTTTAGTAAGGAGCCCTAACATGTTTGAAATTATAATATAGCATATGTTCACCGGCGACGGTGTAACTTCCCAAGGGTGAAAGAATTTTTCAAATCCGTCAAGTAGTTGTGGAGCAAGCAAACAATCAAGTCTTGACTCTTTATAATATTAACGGTCTATATAATAATATAATATAAATATAAAAATAAAAAAATATGCTTTTGTACTCACATTGTATTAGTAAAATGTACAGTAATATCCAGAGGCGTCGATCAAATGTCGGTCTCATGACTTCATCACTTACAGACTGCGATTTGTTGTTGTAGCCTATTAGATTGCTTCGAAGTTTTCCCCAGACTTCAAACTACCCTTATAACAATGCAAGTTTGCAAGTTATAATTATATACAGTTATAGTTATGTACTTTTGAAATATTTATTCCAACAGCAATAATTTTAATTTAGTTGAGTTTGGCACCTCTTTTGTACAGTTTTCTTTAAAAGGTTGTGTTTTCTGATATACGGCGAAAATGTAAAGATGTTGCTCGGTTCTAAAGTAGGTAGAGGCTGTAAAGAGGGAAAATAAATCAAATTTTTAATATATTTTTGAGTTGAATGTTTTATGATTTTATTATATTCAGTTTTTTTTTTTTTTTTGAAATTCATGCTCTGTTTTATAAAATATAATTCAACTCTTTGGTGATAAACGAAAACTTGAATAAAATTCGAGTCGAGATCTTAATGAAAATTGGTATACATATTTCTTGGTAATATCTGAAAATTGTGGTCGTCGTTTTACCCCCTTAATAAATGTAAAGTACATATCAAAATCACTAAAGCCAAAAAAACTAAAACAACAATAACGGGATACAGTTTGTAGGTAGATCCAATCCGAAAATGGTGGTGAAATCGGATAGTAACCATTCCACACAACGGTTAGGTTGAAAACTACTAACAGTGCGATAACCCAATAAATCATTATTTTCCGGTGCCAAAATTGGATATCGGGCGTGGTACCCTACCTTTAGGTCCATATCTTAGGATCCGCTCGAACAATTTTAACCATATTTGGTGAAAAAGAGCGCAATCGGATTAAAACCACGCATAATTCACCTGCAAAATATTTTCAATTCCATATGATTCTTTCACTTTACCGTACACAAATCAAGTACTAAAGAATATGTTGGGATAAAACTTTAAAAAAATACTACCTTTTTGATCTCAAGTGTAAAATTGGTCATAATAGGATAATAAATATTCAAGCCCCAGATACCGAATATGTGTACCTTAGTGCCTATGTCTGATCTTTTACCGAAAATATCGGTCAATCTGTGAGAAATATTGTTGATATTCGGTGAGAGTATTTTCCAGATAGTTTTGTACGCTCGTATCAAAAACGCAAGAAGTCGGGTCAATACTTTTTCTAGCCCCGAACTTCCAGTTGACTATGCACGTATAATATTTGATATACAAGTACAAAAGCTTAATTTCGAAAACGTTTGAAACCGTTTCCTGCCCCAACTGGATATATGTTCCTGAATACACTTCAACATACACAATACATTTAAATAATGTCACAAATTAAACTTCGGGCTTTCTACCTTACTTTGAACCATTTACGAATATGTTGGTCAATATATATGATATATAAATATACTCATAAAAGCAAACATATTATTTTAATATATGAATGAAATCGGTGTATACCGTGGTCAAGTCTATATCCCTACTATGTGTAATGGTTTCTTTTGCACTGATCGATTTTCCCCTCATACATCCAATGTATTAAATTTTAAGTTAACTAGGTTGATTTTAGCACCAAAGACAGAATTTATATTACAAAAATTTTTTTCGTATGAAATAGTAAAGCTGCATTGTTCACAAACGCTTTGTTGTGCCAGATTTTCGTTTAAGATTTTCCTAATTTAAACGCTTTTCCACGAAGTGTGCCATTAAAAATTAAAAGCATGTCAATATTAGTATGTTCTAAGTCTACATGCAATCTAGGAGCGCATCCACACACATACATTTGCATATTTCCGCACTTCAAAGTAACAAAGCCACTGCAATCTCAAGTATTCACAGCATTAAAGTCGTGCTCGTAATTCTTCTTCGTCGCCAGATGAGAGTGACCTAAATTGTATAAAACGTCACTCCAATTAATTAATCGCCCGGGCTAATCATTGGCAGCAACACCAAAACGTCAAGAGATTTCGCATTTTCATTTGGCACATGACGATAGAGACAAAAGCTTGCGAGAAAATCCAGAAAATCTGCTCAATCAGAAATTATGCAGAAATTTATGGCACAAACACAACGCCGCAGGATATGTACATATGTGTTTTATATATATATGAATGTGTGCGTGTTTGCATACAAGTATATTTAAGCTCATGCTATAGTACGTGTACGTATCTGTTGGTAAGTAAGTGCGTGTATGTGCTAAGCTGAAAGCGTTTACTGTGCGGCTATCAAAGCAAGAATGCATTTGAGTGCATAAGTAAGTGGATTTACTTATATGAACGTAAGCTGTATAACATATAAACACGAGCGCACCTATACAGCCACAAGCGGGTTTCACACACACTTTGCTGTGAATTTATGGTTTATACGTGTAAGGAACTCGCCTTTATATGTGTGCTTATTATGAAATTACATCCATACTAACACAAATAGGTACATACATATACACTATAGTGTTCATTATTACTTTGATTTTTATTAAAGTGTGTGTGTGTGGGTGTGCAACTTTTGAGTACCCTCCTGTATATGCACGCTTTGGTGTGCCATAAATTCTCGCCGCTTATGCATATATCACTTGTGATAAATTGTGCAGTGATGACAGCAGCCTGGTGGAGTTAGAGCAAATGTTTCGGAAAGAGTAAGTATGTGTTTATTATAAATACAATAAATTTTTAAATTAGTAAGTTTTCGGTAGTTTTTCTGATGCTACTTCTTAGGAAATTAGGTGGTGGGGACTCTCACCAATAATGGTGTTCTGGCTCTACGTAACCATAGTGAAGCCAATAGTATGTTATGGGGCCGTTGTCTAGTGGAAGGCGCTCGGAAAAAACACAATAGCTAGGCAGCTGGAGCGTATTCAAAGAGCGGCACTCATCTCACTCTGGAGTGCACAAAGGACGACCCTAACAGTGGCACTCAATGCCATTCTCCACACTACATCTGTAGACATCGCTGGTAAATTCTGCACTGCTTCGATTAAATTTTTTAAAGAGGTGTGCATTCCCTCCATAGCCAAGCAGCTGTACTGGCTTCGAGCTCGCTGACTGTACGGTCAAGAAGTGCATGACCTCGTTAGCAATAGCTTAAAGTTTCTTCAATGTTAGATTTGTAATAATTCACAATATAAAAATTGTTTCACCTCTATTATAAAACTTGAGTTATATTAAGTCTAAAATTCGACTGCAGCTTTTTTCATGAATTTGTGAAAACCTAATAATAAAAAATCCGATGAGCACTGGTAACACTGTTTTGATATCAACACATACCACAACCAGAAATAACCTTACCTTTGAACAGGTCATACCGAGGGATGACCGGAAAGGCATTTGCGCGGATCTGCAAGAACTACATCTCATTATCTATGGGGTCTACCAATTTGTTGTAAATGTAGAGTGCTACTTGTCTTATTTCTATTAAGATCTTACTCTATCCGATTCAGAAAGACCATTCCGAATTTGATCTAATTATTCGCGGTCTTCCTTTTAAATAAAGAGATGAAATCTGAATACGATTGTGCAACTAAATTCATCGATTTGAATAAATTCTGCTTTAGGTGTTTTCAAAAGGTTCACTAGTATTTAGATTATGCATTGTCAATTGATAGAGATTATATTATATTCACTATCGGATAGCTTTGTTTTATAAACCGATACTCGCGACTTTGAAATGACTAGCTTTGGACTCAAGAATTTGCAAATCTGAAAATATTGGCTTCAAAGAAATGCCGTGCCACAAGTGTTTCTTCATTATTTCACAAATCCTTCCCTACTTTGATCAATCCAAACTCTCGAGCCTCAACCATGAACTTTGAGAAATATTTGCGAAAGATGCTTTGGATAGCAGTTGAAACTTTTGGTTTTATCTCTCTTTGAAAGATCACTACCTTAGCAACTAAACATTTTTTTTCCGACCGAACTTCACTATCAGTTTCCCTACAAGGCATCTATATGATACAACATTTTTGGCGCTCAACATCTTTCTATTATCTTGCTGCTTGGGCAACCTCAAATGTGGCAACGCAGAATTTATTATGTCAACTAGCAACACATGTGACCCAAGCGACTATAGCAACAAAAGAAACACAAATGGCGCAATGAGAACACCCAGGAAAGTTGCAGCATGGGGTAACCCAAGAGAACCAAAAATTAGACAACAAATTGCTGACAATATCACATTTCGCTATAGAACACAGACATTGGTACTCTGGTCACTAGAATAACAATAATAAACAATGCAACAATAACAAGTGAGCATCTAAGAGAGTTCATTGTGGGTGCAATGCCATGTTAGTGGCGCACGAAGCATAGATGCCACAGGGCATATATACAAATGAGGGTTGATTGTAATAGGTATATATGTGTATGTGTGTGCGGGTGCACCAGTTTATGTTGCATGTACGAAATTGTACATAAATAGTTGGGTGTTGAAATTTATAGGCCACCGTTGCATGTGCTTGCTTCTAGCTCATTGTATTTAACTTCAATTTGCCACATAACAAATACTTGCAACCAAGCACACACACACACCCTTAAACACATATAACTCACACATTGACAGCAGCTTTTGTCAGACAATGCATGTGGGCATGTACTCTAATGTCACTGCGTGACACATTATGAAATATTAGAGCACCTTGCAACATCGTGTGGCCCTAGCTCACGCAAGCTAACTGCATGCTACGTGTGACATGCCAAACGTATCAATAGTATGTATGTAGATGCGTATGTACATTTCCGTGAATAGAGTACGACGCCATTTTGTTGTTGCTACTATTTGAATGTGGCATGCCACTAGGCCTCTCCATATGTGCGATATTGTGGAGTGCAAGTTTCATTGAGCATTACATGCCTGCAGTGCGATTAATGCGTGCTTCAAAACGTGCCTCTCCTAGCAATGAAGAGTTCACATGGCTACTTGCAACATTGCAGCACAAATTTCTATGTGCTCAGTATGTCATTGGATGATATATATGGAATTTCTTAATTGTTGCACTTGCAACAGCATGCTGAAATGCTGTTTTGCTTTTTGTTGCACGCGTATCGGTGTGACAACATTACGTGTTTGTCCCTTTAATATCGTGTATGCTTTAGAAACTCAATCGCATAACAGTTACGAAAGAAAATTGTCAATTACTCAGCGCAATATTGTTCGCAAAATAGCGCTACAATCACATTTTTTGCATACAACCAGGGTATTTTTGATTTGTGCAACATAAGACCAGTAATGCGCTTCTTAGGATCTTGCATCATTTGTTTTTGTTGTAACTGTAACAACAGTTATTGAAATTACTATTGCCGTGTAAATGTGTTTCAGTTTCGTTGCAG